CTCGTGATTCACACAGAGAACACAACATAGGGTGTCAGATTACCTCGTGATTCACACAGAGAACACAACATAGGGTGTCAGATTACCTCGTGATTCACACAGAGAACACAACATAGGGTGTCAGATTACCTCATGATTTACATAGAGAACACAACATAGGCTGTCAGATTACCTCATGATTTACATAGAGAACGCAACATAGGGAGTCAGATTACCTCGTGATTCACACAGGGAACACAACATAAGGTGTCTGCATACATCGTGATTCACACAGAGAACACAGCATAGGGTGTCTTCATACCTCGTGATTCACACAGAGAACACAGCATAGGGTGTCTGCATACCTCGTGATTCACACAGAGAACACAGCATAGGGTGTCTGCATACCACAAAATAGGTTACCTGTTAAGTATGTGTTTAGAGTAGATGTATCTGTGTGATTAACAGACGTTGCCTGTATGTGAGAGGATATGTGTGTTCTACAGGGGTTGCCTGTATGTGAGAGGATATATGTGTTCTACAGGGGTTGCCTGGATGTGAGAAGATATGTGTGTTCTACAGGGGGTGTCTAGATGTCTGTATGTGAGAAGATATGTGTGTTCTACAAGGGTTGTCTGTATGTGAGAGGATATGTGTGTTCCACAGGGGTTGCCTGGATGTCTGTATGCGAGAAGATATGTGTGTCCACAGGGGTTGTCTCGATGTCTGTATGTGAGAAGATATGTGTGTCCACAGGGGTTGTCTGGATGTCTGTATTTGAGAAGATATGTGTGTCCACAGGGGTTGTCTGTATGTGAGAAGATATGTGTGTCCACAGGGATTGTCTAGATGTCTGTATGTGAGAAGATATGTGTGTCCACAGGGGTTGTCTGGATGTCTGTATGTGAGAAGATATGTGTGTCCACAGGGGTTGTCTAGATGTCTGTATATGAGAAGACATGTCTGTCCACAGGGGTTGTCTAGATGTCTGTATGTGAGAAGATATGTGTGTCCACAGGGGTTGTCTGGATGTCTGTATGTGAGAAGATATGTGTGTCCACAGGGGTTGTCTGGATGTCTGTATTTGAGAAGATATGTGTGTTCTACAAGGGTTGCCTGGATGTAAGAAGATATGTGTGATCCACAGGGGTTGCCTGGATGTCTGTATGTGAGAAGATATGTGTGTTCTACAAGGGTTGTCTAGATGTCTGTATGTGAGAAGATATGTGTGTTCTACAAGGGTTGTCTGGATGTCTGTATGTGAGAAGATATGTGTGTCCACAGGGGTTGCCTGGATGTCTGTATTTGAGATGATATGTGTGTCCACAGGGGTTGTCTGGATGTCTGTTTATTTGAGAAGATATGTGTGTCCACAGGGGTTGTCTGGATGTCTGTATTTGAGAAGATATGTGTGTCCACAGGGGTTGCCTGGATGTCTGTATTTGTGAAGATATGTGTGTCCACAGGGGTTGTCTGGATGTCTGTATGTGAGAAGATATGTGTGTCCACAGGGGCTGTCTAGATGTCTGTATTTGAGAAGGGTTGCCTGGAGAAGATATGTGTGTCCACAGGGGTTGTCTAAATGTCTGTATGTGAGAAGATATGTGTGTCCACAGGGGTTGTCTAGATGTCTGTATTTGTGAAGATATGTGTGTCCACAGGGGTTGTCTGGATGTCTGTATGTGAGAAGATATGTGTGTCCACAGGGGTTGTCTGGATGTCTGTATGTGAGAAGATATGTGTGTCCACAGGGGTTGTCTAGATGTCTGTATGTGAGATATGTGTGTCCAGATATGTGTGTGAGAAGATATAATGTGTCACAGGGGTTGTCTGGATGTCCGTATGTGAGAAGATATGTGTGTTCTACAAGGGTTGTCTGGATGTGAAAAGATATGTGTGCCCACAGAGGTTGCCTGGATGTCTGTATATGTGAAAGATATGTGTGTTCTACAAGGGTTGTCTGGATGTAAGAAGATATGTGTGTTCTACAGGGGTTGTCCTGGATGCCTGGATGTGAGAAGATATGTGTGTTCCACAGGGTCTGTTTGTCTGGATGTGTGCCTGTACACTGTCTGTGAGAAGATATGTGTGTCCACAGGGGTTGTCTAGATGTCTGTATGTGAGAAGATATGTGTGTCCACAGAGGTTGCCTGGATGTCTGTATGCGAGAGGATATGTGTGTTCTACAAGGGTTGTCTGGATGTGAGAAGATATGTGTGTCCACAGGGGTTGTCTGGATGTCTGTATGTGAGAAGATATGTGTGTTCTACAAGGGTTGCCTGGATGTCTGTATGTGAGAAGCTATGTGTGTCCACAGGGGTTGTCTGGATGTCTGTATGTGAGAAAGATATGTGTGTCCACAGGGGTTGTCTGGATGTCTGTATTTGAGATGATATGTGTGTCCACAGGGGTTGTCTGGATGTCTGTATTTGAGAAGATATGTGTGTCCACAGGGGTTGCCTGGATGTCTGTATTTGAGAAGATATGTGTGTCCACAGGGGTTGCCTGGATGTCTGTATGTGAGAAGATATGTGTGTCCACAGGGGTTGTCTGGATGTCTGTATGTGAGAAGATATGTGTGTCCACAGGGGTTGTCTGGATGTGAGAGGATATGCATATTCCACAGGTGTTGCCCTAAGCAGTTAGTGATTTGTTTACTCACGTGTTGTGCCCAGTCAGCAGAAACGTTTTCAGGATGCTTTATGCGTTTGGCAGAGGCCACTGAGGAAAATACATAACTGTATTCAATATACGTAAGCTTGTATATATATAAACCTATCCATCATGGATACGTTACAGATGTTGTTGCAAGACGTCCCTGTGACTGACGCAAGTCATTCTACAATGCATTTTCGTGAAAGCAACAGTCAAAATCAAAGTGCAAATGTACGGGAACAACTCCATTGAATCCAGTATTTCAAACTTTCCGTACAACAACCGTGAGCCAGTTGGGAGTGACATTTTGTTTAAACTTATTTTACATCATTACAATTTGTTATCTTGCTTTAGCCGCAAAGTTGGTACCCGTCCAGAATGTATCTGTGTATCGCCAAAGGGTGTCCACAGTGTTTATATATATGCTGTATCGGCAAATGTTGACAGAAAGATGTCAGGATGAATTTACCTTTGCAGGTGTTGCTATCGCTCTTCCTGATACCAGCTACAAGAAAATATAAATGTACTAACGTAATTATTATAATACAGTGGAGAGAGTAAATGTGAAGAAGTAGAACGGCAGGAGAAGATGTGTTATAAGTTTATCCCCATCCAAATCGTCATTTTACCAATATGAAGGCATATATTTCACCTTACATTTAGATGCTGAAACAACACCAACTAACAAGGCAACTAATAAATGATTCTTGACGAAAACTATGTTTAAATTGGCATCCAAACACACACGCATATTGTTTATCAAGAAGTATTTATTATTTAAAAATTAATTTCACGTGTCGCTTAATCTTCATTACTTACAAAAGAAATATCCTAGCCAAGCATATCAGTGGATATCTCCCCGAACCTTACACACATTTGTTTTGTTTGTATGATGGGAGTTGTGCTGAATAAACATGTCTGCCTGTCTGATATCCGTAAGATTAAACAATCCCACACTAGAACCATGCTGACGTCACTCCAGATAAACTGGTCGTGTCTCTCACATCACAGTAATCTCACTAGAAAAACGAAAATACCGGGAGTGTGAAGAAATACAGTTTAATGATAAATCTGCCGGAAAGAGATAATTCTCAGAAAGATACTGTTCAAATTATCCGTTCTCGCAGCTAATACAGATAAATCGCCAGAAAGAAACAGACATGTAATCAAACATTGTCTCCTTAAGTTTAGGATGTATAGGATGGCAGCACATTAGACGCACGAGACGCTGGTTCCTACCTGTTGTGTGCGATATATTGACGTGCATTGTAATGCATACTGGAGGCATAAAGAAAACTTGGCGTTGGAATTCTTCACGAAAAGGCAGAATATTTATCGTAAAATCTGGTACCCTCACCCCCAACTCTCCCCGCCGCATTCCCTGCTGTCTATTCTATTCCCCACTCAAGTCAACTACCCCAGGTAAAATCCTCCTCTTGGTCACTACCCCGAGGTCAACCCTCTACCTCTCGAACCACAAGTAGCCAAACATTTGCATACTGAATATTCCATACTTTAATGTGATAAAAGCCAACACTGTATTACTGACACTGGGTGTCACGATATAATAGCACAGGTTATGAGCACTGGCCCTAAAATTGTCCATGTCTTCAAAATCGTATACAACATGGAAAAGTCGTTTGGCGGAGTCTGTGTTGGCTTCCATTTTCTATAAGTATCACTGAGAAAGTATCAGCTGTTATATTTAAGTATTTAATAGAATACTCTGAAAACAAGTACTATGATAAGCATATATTATTATCTTATTGCGCATTAAAATGATCTCCGAGTACTTGACCTGGGCAGGGGACAATAGGCAGGGGACAATAGACCAGAGGACAATAGATGAGAGGACAATAGGTCAGGGGGACATACGAGGCAGGTGACAATAGATCAGAGGACAATAGGTCAGTTGGAAATACTAGGTAGGGGGCAATAGGCACTGGCAATAGGCTTGGGGTAGCTGACCTGGGGAAATATACCAGGGGGACATAGGCAGGGGGCAATAGGTACTGGCAATAAGCTAGATTGAGTGAGGAAATAGGCCTAGGCACATAAGGCAAGGGGGATCGATTGGGGTAGTTGATCTGGGGAGAAATCGTCCGGGACAATAGACAGGGTACACTTGGCAATGGACACAAGTAAGGGCAATAGGCTAAGGACAGTTGACCTGGGGGAAATGGGCAATTAGGCAGGGGGAAGATGGCCTAGACCTAGTAAGCGCATATACCTCTGTCAGGGCTTGTACAGAACCACAAACACACTCAAGTAACATGACAATGCGAGTGTATTTAAGTAGCATTTAACAATGTCTGTATTTCGAACCTTCATTAACAACATTCCGCATGTGCAACATTCTTCCTTACAACACCGAGGTATTACCATTACATAGCTTACTGACATGTAGCAGTTCGTAGTGATTTGTTAGGTTGCGCTTTTCCAACACAGACTGTGACCATGACACATGCGCAGTGAGTTCCTCTCAGAATGCTTCTTGTAGCTGTAGCAGGACTTCCAGTGAGAGTTGTTAGCTAGTAGCTCTCCCTGTGTTCTATGTAGTCAATCGATGTGTGATACCATACTCCGCGCTCAACGTTCTCCAAGCTGCTTGCGTTGGGAATACCACTAGGCAGGGTGATACAGCCAACTTTTGCCCGTACGTTCTGACATAATTAGCTGGTAATCTCTGGATACAGGACAAATCGTAAAGGTAGGCGGTGTCTCATTACTGTTGAGTAAAATGAACATGCTTACACCATTTGATGTGCAATGGATACTACGCTCCCTGTAGCCATATCTGTTTTACATGAAAGGTACTTGATATTTAACACGATAATACAATATGCTTACTTCAGTGTTCGGGTATGTTATCAGTGATCTGTGACAGTAAACGAAGCTTAATTGTGAGGCTTACAGTGTCTTCCAAAACATGTCCATTATTGCTGAAGTGATTGTATGCTGTTATTCCCCAGCAGGTACAACTAGATATGTGACAGAATGGCTTCGGGTTATAAATACAGGCAAGGAGCGGCTAGGATGTGGAGAAGTCTATTTATGACGGACAAGCTTTACACACACATATACAAAAAAAGAAACAAAAACATTCACCCACTCCAAAGTGACACGCTTAATTCTCCTCTACACCGTCATGTACCCATGTTCCGATACTGTAAAACCCAAATCTCCTCAGTGCAGCCATGTACCCATGTTCCGATACTGAACACTTAAATCTCCTCTTTGCAGCCATGTAACCATGTTCCGATACTGAACACTTAAATCTCCTCTATGCAGCCATGTACCCATGTTCCGATACTGTACACCCAAATCTCCTCTATGCAGCCATGTACCCATGTTCCGATACTGCATACTTAAATCTCCTCTATACCATTATGTACAATTATATCTCCTCTAAACCGCCATGTACCCATGTTCCGATACTGCACACTTAAATCTCCTCTATGCAGCCATGTACCCATGTTCCGATACTGTACACCCAAATCTCCTCTATATCGCCATGTACCCATGTTCCGATACCGTAAACCTAAATCTCCTCTATACCATTATGTACAATTATATCTCCTCTAAACCGTCATGTACATATGTTTCGATACTGTACATGTGAATCTCACCAGTGCCGCCACGTACACATGTTCCAATACTGCACACTTTAATCTCCTCTATACCGCCATATACCTATGTTCCGATACTGCATACTTAAATCTCCTCAGAGATGTACCCATGTTCCAATACTGCACAATTAAATCTCCACTATACCGTCATGTACCCATGTTCCGATACTGTACACTTAAATCTCCTCTATACCTTCATGTACCCATGTTCCGATACCGTAAACCCAAATCTCCTCTATACCGGCATGTACCCATGTTCCGATACTGTACACTTAAATCTCCGCAGAGATGTACCCATGTTCCAATACTGCACAATTAAATCTCCACTATACCGCCGTGTACCCATGTTCCGATACTGCACACTAAAATCTCCTCTATACCGTCGTGTACCCATGTTCCGATACTGCACACTTAAATCTCCTCTATACCGTCGTGTACCCATGTTCCGATACTGTACGTGTGTTTTTGTCACTGCTGATACAAGACAATTCCTCATTCCTTCTCATCATATAGTTCCAAAGATTCCTTAATCAGAAAATAATTTCCATCAATATTTCTTCTCATATATTTCTACGTCAAGACATCTCATACTTCAATCTGATGTGACCGTGTTCCAGCACAGCACACGTGTCAGTACTGTCTAATCAATATAACAATAGCTGCAACTGTAAAGAAGCACTACCTCACGTAGCAGGTAGGACGATTGCCATTAGTATGCATTGGCGAAGAAAGTGATCACTAGCAGGTCCTTGCACCCCGTGAAATATTCGGACAATTAGGCCTTAATGTGTCAGATTCACTGACAAGTGATTGTAATATGTGGCATGGTGCTACTGGTCCCAATGTTTTATTCATCACACAGAGGCCTGACTGTAACACAGTATGTAGGCTGCCACTCAAGATCAGCGTTTCAAACCTTCATATCACGTTTACCTTCATATCACTTGTCGCACTGCGGCTGGACATTCATATTCTTGGTGTTCTAATCATGTATCCATTACATGTCATCATATATGAAACATGGAGGTTTTGCCCCGGTGAACACTTTGATACCTTTCATCCTGCAACGACAAGGTGGAACCTAGCATCATGCAAGAACACATTGAAGCCTGCCATACTACATGAACACATTGAAGCCTGCCATACTACATGAACACATTGAAGCCTGCCATACTACATGAACACATTGAAGCCTAGCATCATTCAGGAACACATTGAAGCCTGCCATACTACATGAACACATTGAAGTCTAGCATCATGTAGGAACACATTGAAGCCTGCCATACTACATGAACACATTGAAGTCTAGCATCATGCAGGAACACATTGAAGCCTGCCATACAACATGAACACATTGAAGCCTGTTATACTACATGAACCAGTTGAAGCCTGTCATACTACATGAATACATTGAAGCCTGCCATACTACATGAACACATTGAAGCCTGCCATACTACATGAACACATTGAAGCCTGCCATACTACATGAACACATTGAAGCCTGTTATACTACATGAACACATTGAAGCCTGCCATACTACATGAACACATTGAAGCCGGCCATACTACATGAACACATTGAAGCCGGCCATACTACATGAACACATTGAAGCCTGTTATACAACATGAACAGATTGAAGTCTGTTATACAACATGAACACATTGAAGCCTGTTATACAACATGAACACATTGAAGGCTGTTATATTACATGAACACATTGAAGCCTGTTATACTACATGAACACATTGAAGCCTGTTATACTACATGAACACATTGAAGTCTGTTATACAACATGAACACATTGAAGCCTGTTATACTACTTGAACACATTGAAGCCTGTTATACTACATGAACACATTGAAGCCTGTTATACAACATGAACACATTGAAGCATGTTATACTACATGAAGACATTGAAGTCTGCAATACCACATGAACACATTGAAGTCTGTTCTACAACATGAACACATTGAAGCCTGCGATACTACATGAACACATTGAAGCCTGCCATACTACATGAACACATTGAAGCCTGCCATACTACATGAACACATTGAAGCCTGACATACTACATGAACACATTGAAGCCTGACATACTACATGAACACATTGAAGCCTGTTATACTACCTGAGCACATTGAAGCCTGTTATACTACATGAACACATTGAAGCCTGTTATACTACATGAACCAGTTGAAGCATGTTATACTACATGAAGACATTGAAGCCTGCCATACTACATGAACACATTGAAGTCTGTTATACTACATGAACACATTGAAGCCTGCGATACCACATGAACACTTTGAAGCCTGCCATACTACATGAACACATTGAAGCCTGACATACTACATGAACACATTGAAGCCTGTTATACTACATGAACACATTGAAGCCTGTTATACTACATGAACCAGTTGAAGTCTGTTATACTACATAAACCAGTTGAAGCCTGTTATACTACATGAACACATTGAAGCCTGTCATACCACATGAAGACATTGAAGCCTGTTATACTACATGAACACATTGAAGCCTGCCATACTACATGAACACATTGAAGCCTGCCATACTACATGAGCACATTGAAGTCTGTTATACAACATGAACACATTGAAGCCTGTTATACTACATGAACACATTGAAGCCTGTTATACTACATGAACACATTGAAGCCTGTTATACTACATGAACCAGTTGAAGCATGTTATACTACATGAAGACATTGAAGCCTGCAATACTACATGAACACATTGAAGTCTGTTATACTACATGAACACATTGAAGCCTGCGATACCACATGAACACATTGAAGCCTGCCATACTACATGGACACATTGAAGCCTGCCATACTACATGAACACATTGAAGTCTGTTATACAACATGAACACATTGAAGTCTGTTATAATACATGAACACATTGAAGCCTGCCATACTACATGAACACATTGAAGCCTGCCATACTACATGAACACATTGAAGTCTGTTATAATACATGAACACATTGAAGTATGTTATAATACATGAACCAGTTGAAGTATGTTATACTACATGAACACATTGAAGCCTGACATATTACATGAACTACATTGAAGCCTGTTATACTACATGAACACATTGAAGTCTGCCATACTACATGAACACATTGAAGTCTGCCATACTACATGAACACATTGAAGCCTGCCATACTACTTGAACACATTGAAGCCTGCCATACTACATGAACACATTGAAGTCTGTTATAATACATGAACACATTGAAGCCTGTTATACTACATGAACACATTGAAGCATGCCATACTACATGAACACATTGAAGTCTGCCATGCTCCATGAGCGAATTGAAGCCTGTTATACAACATGAACCAGTTGAAGCCTGTTATACAACATGAACATATTGAAGCCTGCCATACTACATGAACACATTGAAGCCTGCCATACTACATGAACACATTGAAGCCGGCCATACTACATGAACACATTGAAGTCTGTTATACTACATGAGTACATTGAAGCCGGCCATACTACATGAACACATTGAAGTCTGTTATACATCATGAACACATCGAAGTCTGTTATACTACATGAACCAGTTGAAACCTGTTATACTACATGAACACATTGAAGCCAGCCATACTACATGAACACATTGAAGCCTGCAATACTACATGAACACATTGAAGCCTGTTATACTACATGAACACATTGAAGCCTGCCATACTACATGAACACATTGAAGCCTGCCATACTACATGAACACATTGAAGCCTGCCATACTACATGAACACATTGAAGTCTGTTATACAACATGAACACATTGAAGTCTGTTATAATACATGACACATTGAAGTCTGTTATACTACATGAAGACATTGAAGCCTGCCATATTACATGAAGACATTGAAGCCTGCCATATTACATGAAGACATTGAAGCCTGTTATACTACATGAACACATTGAAGCCTGCCATACTACATGAACACATTGAAGCCTGCCATACTACATGATCACATTGAAGTCTGTTATACAACATGAACACATTGAAGCCTGTTATACTAGATGAACCAGTTGAAGCATGC